GTGGGCGGCAGGAACTACTCGCGGGCGGAACTGGGCGCTCGCGGGTGTTGCTTGCGGTCACTGTTGGGAGCTCGACGATGGGCCTGGCTGGGCGCGACTGCGAGCGACTGCGAGCGACGGCTTGCGGTAGCGATCGGCTGGGCCTGGCTGACTTCCGGCTACGGCGACGATTTTCGGCGGTGGTTCACGGCGGCGAACGGCGGCGGTGAGCTGGGAAAGATGACCGGAAAAATATACGTGGAAGACTCTCAAATATATTGTATCCAAAAGCCTTCTAATTGATTACCTAAACACCTACTTCGATTAAACATGGTGGAGCGTTTAATCGAATCTCCCTAACTCTCGATCGATGTTATTTCCCATGCGTATGTAGAGAGAAAAATCGGCCAACACACACACATTCAAGAGGTTGGGATATGGTGTATGTATAGGCTCCATTAGGGACCTTAAGAAGGTGCTAAATATGTGCTTATCCCATTAGGTATAGGAATCCTAATTCTACTCCAATTACTAATCCAATGTCGGAAAGAAATCTCATACTAATCTACCTCTTCTAGAAGACTCCTTAGTCTCCTAACACTAGAGAAGATTCTAGTAGGAATATTCTTTTCCTAATTAAATTAGTAATTATGGAATAAAATTAATTCCCAATTAAGAATCCTAATTCTACTCAAATTAATAATCCAATGTAGGAAATAAATCTCCTACTAATCTTCCTCTTCTAGAAGACTCCTTAGTCTCCTAACCCTAGAGGAGATTCTTGTAGGAATATTATTTTCCTAATTAAATCAATAAATATAGAATAAAATTAATCCATATTTAAATGAGAATTAAATAATAAAACATCCCACTAGAGTAATACTATTGCTATCCTCATTTAGCTCCTAAATCATTAATTCGAACCCCCATGATTAAATAATATTAATCTGATTGATCGATTTACCTCCCTATGTTTAAGATATAATGTCCGTTGATTAATTAAATTACTGACAAAATAATTAATCAACTCCTTATTCATTTTCGAAATTAGTACCACTCAGATCCTTAACCATTATGTCAGACAATCATCTACCTGCAGGGTTTTAACATAATGTACATTCCTGAGCTCATTTCGAGGACGTCATCAATCCAGTGCACTGGAACATAGTGACCATAAATAATTTATAATAGCACATCATATAATCATCTTATTTACCAAAATACCTCGTATGTCATCCTACTAAAAATAGGAATCACTTGGTAAATCAAATAAACAAGAAGTGAATATATATGCCTATTTTATATTATCTTACAGCTTAAGAGAACGCAATCACCGAAGGTCTACATTACAACAACGATCAGTGAGTCTCATAATATTATCCTTCTGCGGTCCTGTTCAACACTTATCATAAGTGCTAGTGGAATTCTTCAGTCAAAGACCAACTGAATCGAGAATACACTACAGTCTTTTTCCAAGAGGGGTCTCACTGTCTGTCTAGACTGTGAATGAATAGTTTAGTATTATAAGGAACTGATAGGTAATCTTTATGTTCGAAACACTTCGAACCACACTATCTCAATATAAGACATGAAGTATGATTTGCATAAAAAAATAAATTTCAAACACATGTACTTTGACTGAAACATGATAGCCAGATCAAAATGGAATCGAAAGAATATGCAAAACATAACTTTTACAACATATCTCTAACAGAGTGTGGCAGCGCAAGATACGGGCGGCTGCCGGTGGTGAGAAGCTCCACATTATGTGTAACCCCATGAAGTGTGTGTGTGTGTGTGTGTGTGTGTGTGTGAGAGAGAGAGAGAGAGAGAGAGAGAGAGAGAGAGGGAGGGAGGGAGAAAGAGAGGTGACGGGTGGGGTGAATCTAGGGAAGGGGGAATGGATTAATTGGAGTGGGGAATGGTTTAATTGGGGTGGGGCCCTATAATGACAATTACATATTTAGCCTTGTAGTTATGTGTGTATAGGCTGACTTAGTGCGTCAGATTCTTTCAATTTTGTGGTTAGGATGTATTCTCATTTCTTTCATTAAGCACTATTCTCACCGGAGCGCGACTATATATATATATATATATATATATATATATGGTCACGCTCAAGTGAGAATAGTACTCCAGGAAAGAAATAAGAATACACCGTAGCCATTAGATAGAATTATCCAATGGTTAAATAAAAACATGTATTTTTACAATCATTAAGGGTATTTTTGATATTTTCCCTTATAAATACATGGCCCCACCCCAACACCCACTTACACAAACCCAATACAACGTTGCCACGTGGCCACTATCTCATCATAATACCACACTCATCTTCTCTATCTCTCACACACTCACACACAGTCCAAGCATACACACACTACACACACAGCACACAAACAAATTAAAACGCACGCAGACAAATGCACCAACTGGTGGTGCCGCCGCCGCCGCCAACCACCGTCGGCCCGTCCGTCGTCACCTCCAGTCCGGCAGCCGCCACCTCCACCCGGTCCCGCCGTCGCCACCGCCAGCAAACGTCTCCAGATTTTCCACTCCAAATGAGCCCCCTAATATCTTGGGCGAAGAAGATGGTGAAGACCATGGTTGGCCGAGATGAGGTGAATACAAATGCGTTGGTAAGGTACCTGACATCCGTCCATGGCTAGCGCGAGTCAACGGCGGAGATTCGGGGCAGACTCGTTCAATTCTCCTTCTTCTTCTTCTTTTTTTTTTAAGAAGAGGAAGTGGTCGTCCGTCAGGCCGGTGCCGCCGGAGGGAGGAGGGAATGGATGTTGTACACTGGAGAAGAAAGCCCGATGGAGGAATTGCTTTTTGAATCTAGGGACCTTCTTTGAAAATTTGATAAGTCCTAGGGACTTGATTGCAAAGCTAGAAATTTTAATGTAATTCAATTTAGTCCTTGGGTCACATGTGAAATTTAGAGAAAAGATGTAAAAAAGTATTAGTTTTTATATTCTCTTTTATACATATGTATTTTTTAACCTAAAATTCTATAAGATATTAAATAAAAATAATAACATAATCTAAATAATAAATTATTTTAATTAAATGATTAATTCAATTAATCAATTGATAAAAGTGATTATTTTTGTTTTTAGTCTGAATTTTCAAATAAAACAACCCGCGCTTCATAACGCACAACAATATTAAACAATATGCACGTTAGTGACTGTCAGACTGCACATTATATATTTTCAACAAAAATAATATAAAATATTAAGTAAAAAATTCTAAATATATTTTTATAATATAAGTAATAAATTATTTTGATTCTTTATGGTAATTCGACTAACCAACGATTAAACTGATTTTTTCGATTCGTTATTAGTTTGGTTTGGGACAAATTATAAAAAATGTCCACGGTGTGAATGCACATTAGTATTAGATGAACTGCACATTAATGACTGTCAGATTGCACAATAGTGACGAAAATCGACTTAACTAAAATCTTATGTTCATAATTATATATTTTCGTTCAATTATCTATTATTACTTAAAAACATCAGTTATTTCGGTTCGGTGTTGGCTCTATTTGATAAAATAACTGAAATAATCGAACTTATATATGTTATTTATTTTCAACAAATAATAATATAAAAAATATATATAAATACTAAAAACATTGCTATAAAAAGATAGTTGCACTTCGAGTGCACATCAGTGTTAAAAGGATTGCACATTAATGCATGCCTTGTTGCACTATATCGACCGAACTAAATTTTTTAATCGAATATTATATTTTGTTTCAGCAATTTGTTTTTATTTTTAAAATTTTGTTTTTTTTCAATTTGTTGTCGGCTTTAATTTTTGAAATAACAAAAATGGTCGAATTATGTAAAAAATAATATTTTATGTATATATATTGTACGTATTTTCAAACATAAATAATATAAAATATGAAATATAAGTATTAAAACACTAAAATATATATTTTCAATAATTTATTATTTCGATTAACTAATATAATTGGCTAACGGATGAAATAAACCAAATATTTTGATTCGGTTTAATTAGTTTGTTTTGTAGAAATCATTAAAAATTCTTGCACTGCGAGTGCACAATATTGTTAAACAAATTGCATATTAGTGACAACCGGAATGCACAATATCCAATGAAATCAACCGACATAAAAAATTAGTTTGAAATTTTATATATTGGTTCTATTATCTCTATTTTTATTTACTTTCAAAATATTGTTATTTAGATTCGATGTCGGTTTTTTTTAACAAAAAAAAAGTAGAATAATCGGACAACCGAACTATATAAAAATAATAGTATTACTTTTTATATTTGTATGTTAAAATATTATTTATTTTCAGTAAAAAAGAAAAATATTTTGAATATTAATCACAGTATTAAATTCTAATTAATTGATTGATGTTTTTTTTTTCTTTAATTTTCAGTGTGCATAATCACACATTATATTGTGCACTTTGATATAGCCCTATTGTCATGGCCCGGATCAGATAGAGATTGCTCGACTGAAGACTGCAGACGACCCCACTAAGTCGACACCAACGATGTCGACTTGGTCCATCGGCTATTCAAAATCCGTCGAATCGGTCATGGTATCTAGTCGACTTTATAAAGTCGACCGGACACAAGACGACTTCATCCACGATGACGAGCAGGAAATCTAGGAGCCCTCGGATACTTGTATAACTTCAGACCGACTCGGTAAAGTTACAAGTCGACTTACAACGACCTCCGACGACTCGATGTGCAGATGCGACACATGGAAGGTTCCCAAGTGCGAGTTTATACAGGATAAGAAGGAATCTAGATACTGACTCAAGAGTAAGTGGAATGCGAACCGACCAGGGCATTTTGGGTACTTCATGTAAGTCGGCCAGGGCATTATAGGGACTTCAAGTAAGTGTTTCTACTCCTATATAAAGGGGCTGAGGTAACCCTAAACCCCAACTTTTATTCTCCTCATTCATTATTCAGCTGTTGCTCCTACTGAGCAGAGCTCCTCCTCTCCTCTCTCACTGACTTGAGCGTCGGAGGCTCTTCACCGGAAAACACTTCCGGTGTTGAGTTCTTGCAGGTGTTCGCAGCGGTCCACGGGCGACTTGGAGACGATTCGAACAGACCGGAGCTCATTTCCACCGGTTCACTCCAGATCTAGGAGGAGACCCATCAAATTGGCGCCGTCTGTGGGGAGTTCTTGAAGGAAGTAAGAGCTTTACACCTAGTTCCGATTTGTTTGACATGGCGGAGAAGGAAGGATTATCGAGAAATCTAAACGAGGACTCCAGGGCAGCGTGGACGGACAAGCGGCCGCCGTCAATTCCTGACCCTAGACCACCGTTTCAGGTTCTCGGTTTTCCACCCTTTGGGGGACACGCGCCGTCGGGGGTGCGTATTGAGGAAGAAACACCCATCACGCCTCCCGGAGTAAAAATTCTGGGGATAACACAAGGAGAACCTAGTCAGGTGAAGGGCGCGAACACGGGAGTCGACGGCCGCGAGTCCACAGAAACGACTTTGAGCCTGGGAAAGCAACCCAGAGTGCTGGAACAAGTGACGATGCCACCACCCCAGGCCGAAGAGCAGATGATGATTGTGACGAGGAGTGAGATGCAAAGAATGATAGCGGAGGCGGTGGCAGCCCGACTCGAGCAGGTACAAGTCGAGCACCCCAGGCTTGAGCAGCCCAGGCTCGAGCAGCCCAGGCTCGAGCAGCCCAGGATCGAGCAGCCCAGGCTCGAGCAGCCCAGGCTCGAGCAGCCCAGGATCGAGCAGCCTAGGATCGAGCAGCCCAGGATCGAGCAGCGCAGGATTTAGCCACCACCCCATGATCACGAGCAACAAGCCCAGTCCAATGATAGGCAAATCAGAAGGGTGGAGGAGGAGGCGTCCTCCATTAGGACCGCTAATCCGCAGGCGAGAGATGAAATGCTGGAGCAGTTGCTGGCCCAGGTTCGTGATTTACAGGCCCGAGTCGAGGGGAGGAAAGTTGGAGGCTCGAGGGGACATCTGTTCTCGCAGCACATCCTGGATGCCGACCTGCCGCAAGGCTTTCGTGATCTAAACATAAGTTATGCCGGGTCGACCGATCCATCTCGTCACATGAGGAGTTTCGAGAATATGGCGGTTTTGCATCGCTATAATGACCCTGTGCAATGTCGAGCTTTCCTAACCACTTTGCGGGGATCTGCACAGGATTGGTTTCACCAACTACCAACGGGAGCCATCAAGGATTTTGAAGGATTCAGTGCGAGCTTTCTCAATCAATTTGCAAGTGTTAGACTGCAGGAGAAATCGTATCTGACCTTAATGGGCATCCAGCAGAAGGAAGGTGAGTCGCTACGAGATTATGTGGCGAGATATACGCGAGCATGCATCGAGGTGCCCAGGGCGTCGGAGGAGATAAAGGCAGGAGGTTTGACACGAGGGTTGCTACCGGGCTTGTGCAGGAATTCTCTGGCAAAGCACCCGGGTAGAACGTTCGACGAAGTGCTGGGGAGATGCGCAAAGTATATGAATGTCGATGAGGCGGAGATCGATTTCTCGCGAACAGCTAAAGAAAGTAAAGCTGACCCTCGGGATGAGAAAAGGGAGAAGAGAATTTCCTCGGCTGGGGAGAGAAAGGGGTCTCCGCGAGCATAGAGAGAGGGGCGACCTAGGGGTTGGAGGCCGACTCAATACACCCCTTTGTCGGCCCCTCAAGCGCGAATTCTGGAGGTGATGGAAAGAGAAATTCATGACAATGTTGTCAGATGGCCCAAGACGAGAAAGGACGGACCAACGAGACCAAAGAGTAATCTATATTGTCGATTCCACAAAGACTATGGTCACAATACTGACGACTGCAGGCACCTTAAAGACGAAATCGAAAGACTGATTAAGGCAGGACACTTGAAGGAATTCATATATAAGGATCGAGAAAAGTCGAACAGAAGGAGGGAAAGGAGCAGGAGCCCTCGCAAGAGGGCGAGAACGCCGGAGAGAGAGGAGCTCCCACAGAAAAGGGGAACCATACATATGATATTTGGAGGATCAACTGATGGGGATTCGAATCGAGCAAGGAAGGCGTATGCCCGAGGGCGCCATGGGAAAGTTGAGGTACAACAAGTCGATGAAAATGGACCGGTAATAAACTTTGGTCCAGCAGATGCGGGAGAAGTTGAGAGGCCTCAGAACGACGCATTGATGATAACGGCCCAAATATCGGGATATGAAGTGCAGAGAGTGTTTGTCGACACTGGGAGTTCTGTAAATGTGATTTTTTACGATTGACTCAAAAGGATGGAGCTCGACATACAGCTCACACCCCTCCATACCTCACTATTCGGTTTCAACGGGTCAGAGGTCGCGCCCCTAGGTGAAACCATGCTCGTTTTCGTTCTAGGGGAAGGTGACTTGCGGAAGGTAAAAATGGTGAGATTCGTGGTGGTTGATGTCGAGTCATCTTATAATGTGATCCTGGGGAGGCCATCACTTAACGCATTCCAGGCGGTAGTATCGACCTACCATATGAAGCTAAAGTTCCCAGTCGGAGACCAAGTTGGAGAAGCTCGAGGCGATCAAAAGCTGCCGAGGACTTGTTATCAAATCGCTGTAAAAACCAACCAACGGGCCGAAGTTAAGGAGGGAAAGAAGCCAATGATGAGAGAAAAAAGGCCAAGGAATAGTGATCTCGAACCACACGGGGAGCTAATGGAAATACAAATCGGAGAAACAAAGGAACTGAAAAGTGAGAATTCGGTTCAGATAGACTGAATGAAAGAATGCCGCCGCCCTTGGAATCAAGCTACGAAACCAACTGATCACACTACTAAAGGAGTTCAGGGATGTTTTCGCCTTCACCCCTGAGGAGTTGACAGGGATCGACCCCGCTATTATGGAACATAAACTCAACGTCGACCCCCTCAGAAAGCCAGTAAAACAGCGACTTAGATGTCATGGTGAAGAAATCGACAAAGCAATTGAAGTCGAGGTGGACAAGTTGCTGCGGGCAGGGCATGTCAAAGAAATCCAATTTCCCGAGTGGATATCCAACACCGTGATGGTGAGAAAGGCACTAAACAAATGGCGCATGTGCATCGATTTCCGTGACTTAAACTTGGCTTGCCCAAAAGATCATTATCCCTTACCACGGATCGATCAGCTCGTCGACTCTATGACTGGTTGCGAATTATTGAGTATGATGGATGCATCTCAGGGATACCACCAGATCCCGTTATGCCCGGAGGATCAAAGTAAGGTGAGCTTCGTGACGAGTAAAGGGACGTACTGCTATGTCGTCATGCCTTTTGGACTTAAGAATGCTGGAGCAACCTACCAACGACTGATGGATCGAATGTTCAAATCTCAGATCGGGCGAAATATCGAGGTATATGTGGACGATATCTTGGTGAAGAGTAAAGCCTCGACCTCACACCCAGACGATTTAAGGGAAACATTTCAAACTCTTAGGGCGTTCGGGATGAAGTTGAACCCAAACAAGTGTGCCTTTGGAGTAAAGGCAGGACGATTCCTGGGATATATCGTCACAGAGCGTGGAATCGAGGTAAACCGGCAAAAAGTGAAAGCCATACTCGACATGGCCCCACCAAGAAGTATAAGAGATGTGCAAGTTCTGACGGGACGAATTGCAGGGCTGAGCAGGTTCATTGCTCGAGCCGCAGAAAAAAGCTTCCCGTTCTTCAAATTACTAAAGAAGAAGTCGACCTTCTCATGGAGTCACGAAGCACAAATGGCCTTCGAAAAATTAAAAGAATTCTTGGGCGAGCTACCCTTGTTGACAAAACCAGAACCCGGCGACGAGTTGGTGCTTTATATATCTGTGGGTTCGGTATCACTAAGTTCAGTGTTATTGCGAGAAGAAGGAGGTGTCCAACGGCCAATTTACTACACCAGTCGAGTTCTTCAAGGTGCAGAGACAAGATATTCTGAAATCGAGAAAGCCGCCTTGACACTGGTGATAACGGCTAGAAAACTAAGACCATATTTTCTGAATCATGTGGTAGTGGTCAGGACGAACTTCCAGCTTGGTGAAACATTGGGCCGACCTACGGTATCAGGTCGACTCGTTAAGTGGGCAGTTGAGCTGAGCGAATATTCTATCAAATACGAGCCGAGGCGAGTCATAAAAGCTCAAGCCCTGGCGGATTTCATCCAAGAAGGTACCAAGGGAGACGAAAAGAAGTGGGTCATTCACGTCGACGGATCCTCAGCGGCCAAAGGATCAGGTCTGGGAATTGTTTTCGTCTCGCCCGAGGGCGAGGAACTTGACTTTGCTATTAGAATGTGGTGTAGATTAGGATTATTATTATCTTTATTATTATTATTATTATTATTATTATTATAATTATTATTATTATTATTATTATTTAATGACTTGGTGGACAAGTTAATGTTTAGGGTTAGGGGCCTTATATAAAGGACTACCTCTAGTTTATTTTCCTTGGTTGTTTATGAATGAAAATATGAATTATATCGTGTTTAGATGTTCTTGAGATTGAGATCTCATTAATATCGTCCCACTCGTACGCTTTTCCTACATCAGAATGGGATTTAAGGCCTCGAATAACGAAGTAGAATACGAGGCGTTAATCAAAGGAATTCAACTCGCAATTGGCGGAGGAGCATCAGAAGTGGTGGCGCATTCCGACTCACAATTAGTTGTTGGACAAGTGTTGGGAAGTTGCGAGATCAAAGAAGAACGAATGATGAAATATGTCGAAGAAATCCAAAGTATTGTGCAGGGCCTGGAGAAGTTTGAACTAACACAAATCCCTCGAGAGAAAAACAAACGAGCAGATTGGCTCGCGAGAATTGCGAGCTCGAATGATGGGAAGATGGGAAGCTCTATCACCACCATGCACTTAGAGGGAAGCGTGTTGGGTGAAACGATAGAAGTCGAGGAAAAAGACGACTGGAGACAGTCGATTCATGAACTCCTTCAGGGTCGAGTACCTATGGGAGATAAGCAGGAGGCAGAAAGGGTTGCTCGATATCTAAGCAAATACTTTGAAGTCGACGGTATCATGTTCAAAAAATCTCTGGTTGGGCCTCATTTGCGATGCGTTTCTGAAGACGAAGGAAATCATGTTTTGAAAGAAATACATGAAGGATGTTGCGGAGCACATATAGGATCACGGGCCTTGGCAGGCAAAGCCCTGCGAGCAGGATACTATTGGCCCAAGATGCGAGCGATGGCAGAGCAGCTGGTTCAGAAATGCGAAAAATGTCAACGACATGGGCAAATCACGCATATCCCCGCCGAATACATGACAACCATAAACACCCTGATCCCCTTCGCACAATGGGGAATCGACTTGGTAGGACCACTGCCGATGGGAACAGGGCAGAGGAAGTTCTTAGTAGTCGCTGTCGACTATTTTACCAAGTGGGTCGAAGCGGAACCGTTGGCGAAAATTACGGAGGAAAAAATGATCCAATTTCTGTTTAACAATATCTGTTGTCGATTCGGAGTCCCGAAACTACTAATTTCTGACAATGGAACTCATTTCCAAGGGAAACGAATTCAAGCGTGGTGCCTCGATATGGGAATAAAACAAAGGTTCGCCTCGGTCGCACACCCCCAGGCTAATGGGCAAGTCGAGGTGACTAATCGAACAATTCTCCAAGGATTGAAGAAGAGATTGGAGAGAGCATCAGGTGCTTGGGTCGATGAGCTGACAACAGTCCTATGGGCTTATAGGACGACCCCAAGAAGCTCAACAGGCCAGTCGCCATTTCACATAGTTTACGGAATGGATGCACTCCTACCTATCGAAGTCGGCTTAGATTCGCACAGATCGACATTTTATGAGAAAAAAGAAGAACGAGGAGATGTTCAAAGAGGCCCTCGACATGATAGAAGAAGGACGAGAGGAGGCCTGGGTGCGATCCATGGAATACAAGCAGAAGATGCGTGCAGCCTTCGACAGAAAAGTCCGCACCAGACGATTTCAAGTTGGAGATCTCGTCCTCAAACGAGCAGATGCTCTTAAACATGTCGGGAAGCTTGAAGCTAACTGGGAAGGACCTTACACCATCACCAAAATGCTCGAGAGAGGTTCATATGAACTCGAGGATGGCGAAGGACGGCAGTTGCCGCGGTCTTGGCATGTGATCCATCTCAAACGTTTTTATGCCTAAGATAGTATTTTGAACTCTTTTGTACTGAACAATGCTTAATCAAATTCAGTAATGCAATGACTCCCAAGTTTATGTTTAAATTGTGTCTTTTACATTTTCATGTCGATTTTATTATGATTACCCGAAAAATCGAATTTTTCAAAGCGGCCATGAAGCCGATGGACTCCTACGACTACGAAGTCGATCTAAAAATAACTACGAAGTTGTATGCCTCGAGTGGAATCTCGGCAAAAGGCTACGAAGCCTACGACTACGAAGTCGATCTAAAAACAACTACGAAGTTGTATGCCTCGAGTGGAATCTCGGCAAAAGGGCTACGAAGCCTACGACTACGAAGTCGATCTAAAACAACTACGAAGTTGTATGCCTCGAGTGGAATCTCGGCAGAAGGGCTACGCAGCCTACGACTACGAAGTCGATTTAACACAACTAAGAAGTTGTGTGCCTCGAGTGAAATCTCGGCTAAGCTATGAAGCTTGTGATCACGAAACCTATTACGAAATTGCCACTCGAAATGAACCTCGGCTAAACTAAAAGTATGAAGTCGGCTCTAAAAAATCACGACATTATAACAACGGTGCGATTATGTCCCTAGATGTCCTAGAAAATCAGCTATGATGCTGTTAAAAACGTTGCTCGACTTCGACCAGCTCGCAAGCCGGGTTGGGAGAAGACGAGTTGAAAAAACTTCGTTTATCAGCTATGAAGCTGTTAAAAACG